TTACCCATTATTCCTCGCTCCGCTAACTTAGACAAATGGGAGACGTCGGGTCGGCCTCTCGAGACGGACCCCTTTAAGAGCAGCCCTCGTGGGGTGGAATATAAAAAATAATCTAATTTACCCTTCTTACGCCTTTGAGGCTATTAAATTTTGCCATTCACCCTTTAGGAACGTTGTTTTTCTTCCTTAAAAAGAAAACGAAGATGAAAGTGTTCTTCCGCTATTTGTTTTTTTTCGTCATCCGCTGTTGCAATCTCATTTTTATACATTCCGTAGGGAAACAGCCGGTTGTATTCGCGCAGCGCCCAGCAGAATCTCCCGCTCGAGGCAGCTTACGGTTCGTAGCACGCCAAATGATTCTCGCGCTCTAGGGAAAGAATGGCGCGTGGATTATCGAGCAGCTGCCGGGCTGCACCAATATAGAAACGAAAGGACACCGAAGGGAAACACGAGTTGAAACATCCGGGTAGGAAAGGCGCGTTTCGTATAAGAGCAAACAATGCGGCTCCGCCTATGCCGCACAACGGAGTCTCGAAAAAAACGCAACGTGTGCGAACAGCATCATGGGAAGGCGAGGGAACGTCACCGAAGCGTAATAACGATTACTGTTTCGTCAGGGTGATGGCGTTATTAGAGGACGCATCCGTGGAGCTGGATACATGGGCTTTGCGATTCGGGGAGCAGTAACGGAGTGCGCTGCTATTTTACGGGTGAAGCGGGGTCCATGCGAAGCGAGTCGCGGAGGATTCGCCGAAGCAGAGCTGCCAACTCGAAATTAATTCTGCCAGACTCGAGCAGTTTTGATTTGCACGTGGAAATATTAATCTAACAATATCCGAGGTTTTACGTCGCTATACCACGACATTATTATGAGAGACGTCTTTGTGGAGGGTTCCAAAATTTGGACGATATTTCCCCCAAGGTGTACTAATATCGCACACTACACGAGCTTCCACCATTTCGCCTTTATCGAAATGCGATCACCATGGCCGGGATCAAATCCATGCCCTTCTGGAATAAGAAAGTCTAGCTAGTCAAGGAAAATATTTCAAGTTTTTGCTTTTACATTTCTGAAAATTTTAAGACGAAAAGCTTAGGCGTCTCGTCAAACGTGAAAACTGACCTTCGGAATCGGCGGAGTCAGCACGATTGAGTAAAAGAAGCATGAGCTTGTGATGACGTCACGGTACGACGTCACGGTATGACGGTCAACGGTGTGCCGATCATGGAGCCCGTGCAAATCCACGTTAGGTGCCAAAAGCTTACATTGCCTCCGATCTCGTAGGTCATGAAGAATCATGTCGGGTGCGGAAATATCTTGGAGAGGTGAGGGAGAGGATCGATACATTGATTGAGTAAAAAAAAGGACATGGCTTTCACCTATGAGTCGTCTCAGGTGAATGTGTAAGGAAAAGCACGATGTTTTTACAGACCAGATTTGTTTTAGGACAACACCAAATTACAACGCCCTCGGCTACATTTCAACTATTTACTTTAGCTTATTAATGGTACATTGTGCAGTCGTCTGGCAGCGCTAGATAACTGGCACAGCCTTTTTTCGGTAAAAATTGAAAAACTAGTCTTCATCACCTCTACTACAAGTTTATTTGATGCGATTCACCACGTTGCACTCCGTATACGTATAGTTTCAGAACTTTCATTTGCATTATGATTTTTGTGTTGAATTCAATACTTCAGAAAAAGCTACCTGAGTTGCTAGAGCGGCACCATGTTCTCATCACGCGCAATACATCTCATGCGAAAGATGCATATCTTTTTCCAGGTTTCATCTTCCGGTTTACTTGGCAAGATTTGCTGTGGTCGCTGCTCGAGCACGGTAAACTCGAGCTTAATTCTTCAAAAAAAACAGACAAACAAACAAAGCAGTAAAATATTATAATCCCTCTGCTACTCAAATGGCACCAGTACATATTTATTTATTTATTTATTTTTATTTACATTTCACCTACATCGCCGTGAGGCATTACGTAGGGGAGGTACAAATAATAATTTAACTACATAGTTTTCATTCAAAACAATAGATTCAACAAATAAAACAGCACTCAAAATATTTTAAGAGAAAAAAAAAACACTCGATTATTGGTGAGTGAAAACAACGTCACAGTCATGCATTTGAAAACACGCACACGCTTCGAGACAGCAAACCATTCTTAGTGGCAGTGATATTGTAGGAGTTGTTACAATGAAGAAAAAAAGGATTCATTATCAGTTTCATTGACGAGATCATCCGGTAGACGGTTCCATTCCTGTATTGTTTTTACGAAAAAAGAACTACCGAAAGAGTGGGTTTTGTAACGGTATTCTAATATTTTTCGTGAGTGGTCCTGACGATTTGAGACGTACGTTGGTGTGAACAGATAATCAAGAGGGTTAATGGCATTTCCATTATAATATATACAATGAAGAAATTTAAGCCTGAGTTTCTGCCTCCTTACCATCAGTGTCTCCCATTTCAATGCTCGTTTCATTTCTGTGATGCTTGCAAAGGAATTATAGTTGTTGCTAACAAATCTGGCTGCTTGGTTTTGAACTTTTTCCAATGCGTCAATCAAGTATTGCTGATGGGGATCCCAGATTACGCAAGCATACTCTAAAATAGGTCTTACATACATGAGATAAAGGGTTTGTTTCACGGTCTGTGAAGCTTGCCAAAAATTTCTGCGTATGAAGTATAGCATCCGGCCTGCATTGGTCACAGTTATGTCAATGTGTTTATTCCACTTGAAATTGTCGGAAAAATAGACGCCCAGGTACTTATAATAGGATTCATTGCTAATTATTGAATTATTTATTTCGTATGTTGTGTCTAGTTTACTAATCCGGTTGGTGAATGATACACAGCAACATTTACGGACGTTTAGACTCATTTTCCATTTTTGGCACCACGTTGATATTCGGTACAGATCATGCTGCAGAATTTCAGCATCCTTGTGCGATTTAATCACTCTAAACACTACACAATCATCTGCGAATAACTTAATGTGAGAGGTAATACCATCGACTATGCTATTAATATAAATCAGGAAAAGCAAAGGTCCTAATACGCTTCCCTGTGGTACACCGGACGTAACGGTTACCGCAGATGATTTTGATCCATTAAGCACTACCTTCTGCTGTCGATCGTTTAGATAGTTCTTTACCCAATTGATAACTTTAAGGTTTATGTTTGCAGAGAGCATTACAAATTCTAACAGATTGTGTGGGACGGTGTCGAAGGCTTTCCGGAAGTCAAGGAACACTGCATCTACTTGAGCGCCACTGTCTATAGATTGTGCGATGTAATGCTGGAATTCGACTAGTTGAGTTACGCATGAGCGTCTATTTCTGAAACCATGCTGAGATGGAGTGAGGAAGTTGATTGACTCTAGGTGTTTAACTGTTTCGCTGTATATGATGTGCTCAAATAACTTACAGCAAATTGCTGTTAGCGAGATGGGTCTGTAGTTTTCGACAAGCTTTTGATCACCTGATTTATGAACCGGGATAACGTTTGCAACTTTCCGGTCATGTGGGACAACTCCAGTATTTAGTGTAATTTCATATATAACGCATAAATACTTTGCAATAACGCTGTGACAGTTTTTAAGAACAAATGGTGATAAACCATCTGGTCCAACTGCTTTAGTTGTATCTATCTGCCGTAACAAGCAATCAACACCAGTAATGCCAACCTCCACGTCTTTCATGGAAGTCCACGTGACTGGAAGCGCCCCCACATCGCCAGGTGTGCTTTGAGTAAAAACTGATTGGAAATAGTTGTTAAAAGCTTCAGCTTTTTCTTCATCGGTGCACAAAGTATCACCCTCCACGGTCAGAGCAGGAATGCTTATATCGTCTTTTCTAGTTTGTTTAACATACTTCCAGAACTATTTCGGGTTTTGCTTTAACCTATCGCTTAATTGGGCAAAAAAAGTATCCTTCCTTGTTTTTATTGCCGATTTCAGTGTCAGGTTTGCATGCCTAAGCTCTTGTTCATTAGACGTGGTACTCCTATCGCGAAATTTTCTGTACGAACTTCGTGCTTTCCTGGTTAACCTGCGAATGTCTTTATTAAACCAAGGCTTTTGTTTTGTTCTCTTCCTTAGAATTCTGTTTGGTACGTGAGCTTCAACTGCGTGAAGTAGCTTATCACGAAAATAAGACCACAGAGTTAAAGAGCAACGACTTTCTGCCAAAAGCAAGAATGTTGGGTAATACGACTCTAATTCTGCAGAAACAGAATCGTAGTCACCTTGTTCATACAGGAAAATTTTTCGGGGTATTGCCTGTGCTACTTGGCAGTATTCTATCTTTAAATCTGCCACAATGGCCTTATGGTCACTTATACCAGGAATCACCGACACAGTAGAAACAATATTTGGGTCATTACATAATATTAAATCCAGAATGGCATCATGTCTCGTTGGAACATTCACATATTGACAAAAACCAAACACTCTCAAGAATTCGCCGAACAAAGTATACACTGACAACCTGTTTTGTGTACCACTGGTTATCCAGTCAAAATCTGGTAGATTGAAATCTCCACTCAGGAGTACACTGTCTGGAATTAACTGTACCATTTCAGAAAGCAGTGTCATAGGAGTATCACCACTGTCTGGTGGTCGATAAAAACAACCAAACACGACAGTATTTCCCTTCGGTAAAAAAACACGGCACCAAACTGCCTCGGCAGAATTGTGGAAAGAAACTTCCACGCTAGTCCACTCGTTCGCTACAAGAATAAATACGCCTCCATCATGGCGATTTCTATCTTTCTTATATACAGTGAAGCCATGTGGCAAGACCTCAGTATCAGGTATCGCACTGTCCAGCCAAGATTCTGTACCCATAATAATTTTTGCTTGAGTAGTTACCACAAGGGACGCAAAGACGTCAACTTTATTATTAATACTTCGACAGTTCACAAGAAGCAGCGGTATGCGCCCGCACGTGTTTGAAGTATCGATTCTCCCAGTTCTGCGAGGACTGACGTCACGTCAGTCGGCTTCTTGTGATCGCGCATGTGCATGCAGTGGGACAGGTTGGTTCATTTCACTGTCCCACACGAACGTCTTTCCGTTGATAACAAGCTTATCATAGTTAAGGCGCACTCGGCATCCCTTGCTATCTCTCTTTTCCCTGGCATAGTTCCAAAGAAGCCGTCGTTTTTCGCGAACAGCATGACTGAAGCCTTCGGATACACTAAAAGAGGTGTTCTTAAATTTGTAAGCATTACGCATAACACTTTCCCTGGCTTTCCACCCCGAGAAGGTTGCGACGATAGGCCTAATGCGCCCCTCTGTGAAGGCCCCCAGCCGGTGAGCTCTTTCTATCGGAATGTTACTAAGCTTGAGCACGTTACTGCAAATCTCTTCAACCAGGCTCTCAGATTTTTCCCATGTTTCTTTGCGCTCATTGTCTGGCACACCAAAGAAAACTAAGTTTAACCGGCGGCTCCTGTTTTCGAGATCGTCAAGCTTAGCCTCTATCTTTCTTTCGGATATTTCAACAATCTTAATGCGCTCCTCGATTACGTTTGATTTTGCTATCACGCTGTCTATTTTCTGTTCCAGGTCGGCTTGCTTCGCCACTATTTCTGCAAGTTTAGTAAGCATGGTTTTCTGACTACTTTGTACATCCAAAAGGATCTTCTCAATGTTCGCCATCTGCTCTTTTTCGGTTGAGTTCATAGGGCCTGGGTTTAGCTCTACATCCCCTGAGAGTAGCAATAGAGCCTCCCCCAACAAAGAACAATCATTGCAGATTAGCACCCAAACAGAGTCAACCAAGTATTTGCAAACAGTGTCAATGAACAAGCACAACTTCTGTCTATCAATGGGGCACGACACTCTTACAAGCATCACATTACTCGTGCGATAACATTTTGCGTAATTCAAATAACAAACCTGATACATGAAGCAACGTAAGTTCGTGCCCAGAAGAAGAGTGCCGCACCCCAGTCGACGGCTGCCGAGATGCTCCCTTTTATCGGCCTCGTAAGGCGGATCCGGAAGCGCTCCTCGCCACGCAGTCATGTGGCCTGTCCGCAGTTCAAGCACGGTATCAGGCGTGTGAGCTCGCATCAGTGGATGGCAAGGAAGGGCGCACTGCACATGCGCCGTAGCCGCCATCCAGGGCTGTGGGGTAGACTCAGCCGCCGCTCCGCCGATGAACGCCGCAGCAACAAGGATACCGGGCAGCACCTGATACATGAAGCAACGTAAGTTCGTGCCCAGAAGAAGAGTGCCGCACCCCCACACGGAAAGACGGAACGTGAAACACAAGTGCCGACTCTCAACTGCACCTTTATTCACATGCGCAGACCATAAATATATATGCCCACGTGCGGCTTCTCATATAAGAAATCCATACATAAGTGTATGACAACCGGTGTGAGCAACCAATAAAAAAGCACATAAAACAACAATATCTCTACCCATTCAAGCGTATGATTTCTGTATCTTGCAAGGCTACGGAATGGAAGCTGATGCATGATTCTGGGTCTTTACTCATGTGCCAAGCCTGTATAATATCTCGAGTTGTCTGGTCACGATGCCGTGACTCTATGCTGGTTTCACTGAACTGAGGTTCACATCCACATTGCCGACAATGCGCAGCCATATGCGATAGGCCATCGCTACGTACCTAACATTAACATACCTTCCTGTCTGGCCTATGTATGCGGCGTCGAATGACAGCTCGGGGATTCGGTGATCAGCACCCGAGGTACACTCAGTTGCTTGAGATCGGTGCTTAACGTCACAACCTACATTATTCTTTGCCTTTTTAGGGGCGAAGCTCCTTAAGGCATTGGCGCTGCGTCCCCTGTATGTAGACACCTCTCGTTTAGTTCTTGCAGTGTTCACTAGATGGCACTACCGTCCCCTGTATGTAGCCACCTCTCGTTTAGTTCTTGCAGTGTTCACTAGATGGTGGTACTTGTAGCTGATGATGAAAAGATGCAAGATGTTATAAACTAGACGGCGGTACTTGTAGTTGATGATGAAAGATGCGAGATGTTATAAAATAGGAATGATGTCACATATGGCGCGTGTAATCGGTGGAAAACAATCGTTCGATTTAGTTCGGCGACGTACGCTAGGGGGAGCGTTGTAATAAAATCGAGTGGGCAAAATGTACGGAGGATTCATTGTTTACCACGTTTACCCCCGGAGCTTCGCCCACTCATCATCATTCTCTTCGTGAATACGGCAGCACTTTTTTTAAATTTCTGCTTTTTGTTTAGACGACGGCGATTTCCTCGCGAATTCCTCGTAAGAAGCCACACCCACGCCGTATCTGCAAGCAAAGCTTTTTTAGCCCATGCTATATGTAGCGCGTGGATATGACATGACCACTGAATATTTTTTTGCTTGTTCAACAGGTATACTTCTAAACCTGCCCGGCCTACTGTCGACTCGAATCCTCGGATCACCTTTTCGCAAGCTTACCACATGATCAAAAAAACCCGTGCTTTTTATTACATGCCTAACCACATGCGTATATGCACATGTATTCCACGCTTGCGTACGCATGTAACCAATAAACTTAAATTTAGACGACAGTTAAACCCCTTTATTAGAGACACTGGTGTAAGAGACACAAGTGTGCTTGCACTAAAATAGGAGTTGAACTTAAGGTAAGGACCTGGCGCCCTGTAAAAGGGAGACACCTTGTGTAATGGACAGCAACTGCTCCCCAGCAGGTGTCTCTTAGAAAGGCGTTCAACTGTATACCTATAGGAGGGTGACAGATGATCCCACTATGCTCTCGCGCCGCCACTTATCTCACGTCTGTATGGAGAAGCGATGAACATGCAAGGTGCACATTCCAACATAACATAGCATAAAGGAACCAAGTATATATATATATATATATATATATATATATATATATATATATATATATATATATATATATATATATATATATATATATATATATATATATATATATTAAAGCTACAAGCGCCCTGCAACAAAACATTCCCCCTGAACGAGCTTCGTTTATATACCTTCCACCCCTTTTTGGTGCCGTAGCATCGCCTCTTGAATGAGAAAAGATAGACTTGATTGATGAACCCAGGCGAGGGTAATAGCAGAAGCCTTTATCTCAGCCCCGCCTTTTTTTCTGGTTATGTTATTTTCCTCCCCTAGACGTTCCATGGCTGGCACGAAGGTTCTCTGGATCCGCGGCTTCGGAGCGAACGGCTTTCCTATAGATTCCTCCGCAGAGCCCGCTTCGCTTAGGCAAAGGAAATCTTCACTGCGTGAACAGAATCAGGCTGTAACGTCGGAGCTAAAAGAAGAGGAAAGGCGCCAAGGCTTGCGTCTCCGGCGGGAGCTGGAAGTGTTTCTCTCGAAAGGCAAAAGTTGAGCATTGGCCATTGAAAGGTTCGTGCCCTCAAGTATGCGTTTTCTCGGCGAGGTAAACAGAGACGAAGCGGACGAACAAAATCTGAACTGTAAAGATAAGCAGATGCTGCGTTCCCTCCCCGACCCCACCACTGAAAAAAAAGGGGAAGTATTTGATGACGCTAAAGGAAATACGTATAACGAGCAGCCTGGGCCCATAAATGCCAGTCCAAGTCAATGACCTCAAGGGCCTTTGAAGATGCCTCTTGCGGCCATCAGGTTTTTTTTTTCTTTTTTTCGCTTCGCAGCCGAAGGTGATAGAACGAAACTCGTGCGGCGCATAGAACATTTTGAGATGCCTCGGTCGATATTCCTCTCCCGAAGACCGCCGACGCCTTTTCTTTTTCTTTTTTTTTATGTATTGTCTCCGCTTTGGGGTCATCATCTATGGCAGCACAGCACATTTGTGCCCAGCAGGGAAGCCGACCAACCAGACGCTGCAGTTTGTGCTCTTAGCGCGGTCGGCGGGCATAAAAGGAGAGCGCGCATTGGCTGTGGTAGTTCGTGCTAGATTGCTCCGAGGGTATATTATATTCATTTTGTGTTCGCTGCACCGAAATGGCTTTGAATGTTTCAAGTTTTCTGTCGAGTAGCAACGCGTGGATTTACAGGCTTGGCACGTGCGCTACATCATAAGGGGCCCCCTTGCGGTTCCGGTGTAAGCACGTCCTTTTCACATTGATGCCCCGCCGCGGTGGTCTAGTGTCTAAGGTACTCGGCTGCTGACCCGCAGGTCGCGGGTTCGAATCCCGGCTGCGGCTGCTGCATTTCCGATGGAGGCGGAAATGTCGTAGGACCGTGTGCTCAGATATGGGTGCACGTTAAAGAACCCCAGGTGGACGAAATTTCCGGAGCCCTCCACTACGGCGTCTCTCATAATCATATGGTGGTTTTGGGACGTTAAACCCCACATATCAATCAATCAATCATATTGAGGGTGGGGATTTAGAATGGGCAATCGCGTACGCTATGCTCGGAGGGAAATAATATGATATGGGGTTATACGTGCCAACACCACGATATGATTATGAAAAGCACTGTGGTGGAGGGCTCTGGGAATTTCGACCAGTTGATGTTCTTCAACGTGCGATGACACCGCACAGCAAATGGGCCTCTACCAATTTGCATCCATCAAAATGCGACGGCCACAGCTAGGATAGAACCCGCGACTTGTTGTCGGGAAGAAAGTACCTATACAAAATTGCCCTAAAAAAAGAGACAACATAGAAGGTCCACGCACAAGCCCAGACTAGAAAGTGAAAGTTCATTAAATAAAACACCACCACCACCACCATCACCAAACGACGACGACGATGACAACAACAACAAACATCATGTGGTGACGTAGCCATGCGACATCACAATTATGGCACAGATTACAAAAGTTGTGGCTTCATTATGACCCTATTAGGACATTACTGTGACGTCACGTCATGGTATGACGTCATCAAACAACACCGCCCCTTGGTCAAAGGTGATCCGATCACGGAGGCAATGCAGAACCAAGTTTTATCGTTTTTTTTTGGATACGAAGCAGCTCAGGGTCTGGCTCAATCCGGTGTGACCATTTACTGCGCATGTGTGTGTCGCCTCGCAACGCCGACACAGGGAGCGTCTGCTAACCTACGCTCACTACCCCCCTCTGTTTTAAATGCAAAGCATTTCTTAGTGAACTTCAGCGACTTTGAGCGTATCTATCTATCTATCTATCTATCTATCTATCTATCTATCTATCTATCTATCTATCTATCTATCTATCTATCTATCTATCTATCTATCTATCTATCTATCTATCTATCTATCTATCTATCTATCTATCTATCTATCTATCTATCTATCTATCTATCTATCTATCTATCTATCTATCTATCTATCTATCTATCTATCTATCTATCTATCTATCTATCTATCTATCTATCTATCTATCTATCTATCTATCTATCTATCTATCTATCTATCTATCTATCTATCTATCTATCTATCTATATGTCTGTCTATCTATCTATCTATCTATCTATCTATCTATCTATCTATCTATCTATCTATCTATCTATCTATCTATCTATCTATCTACTATCTATCTATCTATCTATCTATCTATCTATCTATCTATCTGTCTGTCTGTCTGTCTGTCTGTCTGTCTGTCTGTCTGTCTGTCTGTCTGTCTGTCTGTCTGTCTGTCTGTCTGTCTGTCTGTCTGTCTGTCTGTCTGTCTGTCTGTCTGTCTGTCTGTCTGTCTGTCTGTCTGTCTGTCTGTCTGTCTAGCCACTTACATTTGGGTGCTCTCGTGGTCACCCCCTTGGCTTAACTTGGCGGTGAACTAAAATTAGCATGGGAGGGTAAGATGGTTTGACGAATATGACGCGCTGGTCAAGACATGAATAATGTCACAATCCCGTCGCGTACGTCGTCAAACATTTCCCGCCAGACAGAGGAACATATCCACGGGCTGGTACGTGCCACTGGTTAGCGGGTATGTGCCACAGGTGATTGACGCTTAGTATCTGCCCAGGAACAGCGAGAACACACATGGGCAATTTGAACACGCGAGTGTTAAGAAATACCCAAAATTGGTAGCGTCGACCCGACAAATGCAAAGAATAAATGTCAGGGTGCCATCCGGAAGTGAACCTGAGAATTATGCGTGGCAATGAAGCATTTTACCACAGAGCTACGCCAGGTTTCGCAACTACTTTTCAAATATACGGTTATCTTCGTGAAACGTCAATAGGATTTGCAGTGCTGCCTACCCAATTTTATAAACATTACATATGTACTCCTTTGATAGAGCCGTCACGTCGGGTTAACGTAAATTGCGGTTGTTTGCCACGCGCTGAAGTTGATTGATGTAGCAATGTCCAGGGCCAGCATTTTCGCGAGCATCAGCGCTTTATATCAGCTTCTGGTGTTGCTAATACACATTTTACAGTTGGCATCGTTGCGCTTGAGCAAAGAACTTGCTATATAAACATCTGCAACACTTCAACATATGTCTGCGCGTGCAACATTTGTACATATATTTAGCGTCATTTCATGACATGTTGCTCGACAAAAAAATTTAAACATAGTCACCTTCCCTCCGCATGCTTCGCATTACGTCAATTATCAGGTACGTGGGATCTGCCGAATTTTCATCTAGGCAGTTCTCTACACGGTGTTTACACCCCCTTTGCGCAAGCGCATCCCTCCCCATCTCTTTCCTCTCAAACGCTTCTTCCTCTCTCGCTTCGCATCACCAATGATGGAGGCGGAAATATTGTAGGCCCGTGTGCTCAGATTTGGGTGCACGTTAAAGAACCCTATAGGTGGTCGAAATTTTCGGAGCCTTTCACTACGGCGTCTTTCATTATCATGCGGTGGTTTTGGGACGTTAAACTCCACATATCAATCATAGCAACACCAATGCAGGCAACGTCTGCTAACGAGTTTCTAGACTGAAAAAAAAAAATAACTGACTGCTCACGCTGCACAACCGTCCACTGGCCACATCGTATATATGTATATCTCCGAGGCAATACCATTAGTAGATTACTCTTGTGCGTTGTTAAACAATGAAATTTCGCAGTGTGGGCGTTAACTGAAAGCGAACGGGCTGCGGGTCTCTGTGTCCAATCGGAGTCGTCAGTCTCTCATTGCCGAATATAGCAGCGTTTGTCATTCTCCAGTAGGAAACACCGGTGTATCACTGCGTGCTTTTGCGCCTCTCCGGATTTCTCTCCTGTGCAATGCCCCGGTGAACGCCAGCGTCAACGTCGTCACCGCCGTGTAAGTGTTAGCAGCCGCTGCTTCGCATCTGCTCATGGTTCGCTTAGAAGGTGGAAGGCATAGTTCTTGTTTCATATTCCGCTTTTATCTGTGTGTTGTTTGGTGCTGCACTAAACGTGCCCCTTTGCCACTTGCCGCTACTGCTATTTTTCAATAAGTTCAGCCCTCGCTTCACGAAGAATGCCAGCGTAGCGTAAACAGGCTATGAATTCGGTGACTCCGTCAACTGATAGATATAAAGAGAGGTAATTAGTAATTATGGGTGAAATATTGTGTCGTGAATGAGTGACCTTTTTATAGATAAGACGATGAAAGAGTGATTGCGTATTAATGCGTTTGCTCATTTTGCAATATGTATGCCAGTGGTACAACTTACCATGTTGGTAAACTATCTGCCGCTTATTTCGATCTTGACTTGGTAATGTTTTCGCAATGTACTCAAAGCTGCTTTCTAACACCGTCATTACTTAGGGATCAGAATACTAGACTGCATAAATTTATTTCATGAAGTGACGGTTATTGAATAAAACGGCCCAACAAGAAAAAGAGACAAGCACCTTTGAGTAGACCTCCTAACATATCTCCACATATGAAACAAACCACCATCAAATATGCCAATGCAGTATGAACACAGAAACAAGCTGCTTTTTGCTGTCGCTGTCCCTTCTGTTACAGTCTCTCCACTCGCCTTGTTCAACCTATGCATTGATTGAATCTGTGGGGCATCGTCAAACATTAGCGCACATTCATAACGACGTTTACCAATGCAGGGCTCTCGCTTCCATTTCGCTTCCTCTCTTAGCCTTCTTTAAGCTTTCCAAACTTCGTGCTCAAGTTTCCGTAATTGGTTTACAGTAACAGAGTTTCCCGTGCCGGATGGCTGGTGGGCGTCTCGTCTGAAGCAGGGCCCAGAGAGCGTGACATCGGACACCCTCGTTTGGTGAGGAGCCGAGGCAGATCGCTACGCTCAGCCAACGCTGTTTGTTCGAGACGGCGGCCGAGAACGGGCCTCGTTTCAGCCTTAGCGAAGGTTTTTAATAAGCGCTGACGTTATTATGATTTCCCCCGCACGAGACCACTTAGAAGCGCGCGCCTTGCGTGCAATTACAACTCGGGTTACCTGTCCACTCGTGCTGCGCCCACTTCCGGGTATAAAGTTGCACTATTGCACAAAAAATATAAATAAACAGGACGCGCCCTATCGTGGAGGTTTTCCTCGTAGGTGTAGAAGCAACTGAGTCATAGTTACCAACCAATGGCCGACGGCTACACTGCGGTGAACTATAGTTGAACATGAAAGATAAGCTCTATGACCCTCGAGCACCAATAATACTGAGATGCTACGAATGTGAGGTCTCGAGCTTGTCTTATCGCATGCAGCAGAGTCTCGGTATGGTAATTTTCTAACTCGTTCAATTTGCCGATGCAATGCCAGTCGATGTTGACCAAGTTGGGGCTTTAGAATGCAGTGGTGTTATATAGCGTAGGTGCCTGTCATATACAGGGTGCCCAGCTATCTCTAGCCAAAGTTTACAAATAATCCGGCACACGCGATTGACAACGAGATCGAATGCATGTTTCTGAGTGTTGTCTGTAGTGAGTCAAACTGTTTTTGTGTTTCTGATTAAGTGCTTAGTCAGGACTCTTTTATTAACTAACCTATTAATTAACGAAAATGGGCCAGGAATTATAATAAAAAACGTTGCTCACCGATTTAAAAAACAACGTCTGACTAGACAGTATAGACCTTTATATTACCTGTTAACTTTCGGTGTTTTTCTGCTAACTACAATTGATCGTGAAATAAACACACACAAATAAACTCCCAAGGATTTCCCCGAGGGTGAACATGGTTAAGTGCGAATACACGGGTTGATGCTATGAGGGGCATTTATTAATTCGCACTATTAAATTCATTCATCACACTATGGTGCCTTTATGGTGTAATGGTTCCTGGGAATCGCAATTTGATCACACGGGGGAGTTTACGTTAACTCACTGGCGAATGCCAACGGATTTTAACTTTACTCCCCCTCACGACCCGCTCTCGACGGGAGACTGAGAGAGAAGGCGGGCGTGCGAGAGAGAGGGGTGCGCGCGCAGCTGCAGCGAGCGAGGAGAGCGGAGGAGCAAGCGAAGGGGGAGAGTGACGCGCGCAGCGTCGTTAAAGATATAAGGCGCGTTACTGACACCGATATCAGCGTCGCGTCCGTGGCTTATTCGGTAGAGCGTCGCGCTGCGGCCCGCCAAGTCCTCTTTCTTTTAAAGATAGAGAGAAGACTGCGGACGCCGCCGACGGCGGTTGATGGTTTGGGGTCGCTTATAAAGTGTATTCACACTTAAAACACACGCTACGAGCCAGCCCTAGCGTCAGTGCACGCGATGGTTCTAGCGCTCCCTGGCGTTCCGCGTACGAACTGTCATAGCATTTTCCTGATTACGCTATCTCGACAGGACCGCGACGATGGGGGTAGCTTTGCGAGGAACCCGGTCTGCTATCGGCCACAAAAGAAATAATCGTTGTCGTGGCTACTTATCGCTGTCACGAATTGTTGCGGGGGAAGTGTA